CTTTTACTACAGGCGCACAGCTGTAGATCGTACTCTGCTAGAACCTTGAGCATCAGGCATGGAAACATGCAAGTGATACCTGAAACAGATAGGCACCTGGATGTGTAACATTCAGTGTTTCACCCCCGCCCGCTGAGCCGCAAGCTTGCTGTGGTCGAAGCTCCGCGCCTGCATGCGGAAAAACGGCGCTTCTTGCCCCCAAGTCCTCCCAAGTCCTCCCGAGTCCTCCCGGGCCCCCGCCAACGCCTCAGAAGCTTTGGTCTGGAAGGCCTCCGGCTCCCGGAGAGAACGAGCCGAGCAGAGCAGAGCTCAGACTTCCAAGGCCACCACGCCCGCAGCCGCGCCCGCAGCCGCGCATGTCGCAGCCGCGCATGTCGCAGGTCCAGGCGGCCTCAGAGAGAGCACCTGGCAAAGTCGCCCTCTCGTCCCCTCCTTTTTCCTCTCGAAGACGCACCCCACACACCTCCGCCGCGAGTGGCGTTACCGGGGTCCTGGTGATGCGACAGCAAAGCCATGCAAAGCCCTCTCCGACTAATGCTCTCCTCGCACTTCCCGGCGTCGCCGGTGCCAGGACGTGAGCAGCAAGCAATGCCTTGTGGCGAAGCGGAAAGCGGCGGAGTAGGGCCAAGACGGCTCGTGAGTCTCTGCAGCTCGCTGACAAGACACCCCGAGCTTTCGGAAGCCGCGCTTCGTGGCCATCTCTTCGGCAGTGAGCCCATGGCGGTTCCGTGTGCCAGGGCTTGCATAGGCCTGGCAGGGGAAGGGTCCAAGGCCCGAGCACACGAAACCGAGCCATGACCTATAATTACAGCCCTTCGTCCCGCAACTTCCAAAGCTGCATGACCAAAGTATGGAGGATCATAATGCAGCGTAGATCTAATGTTCTCATCTGCCGATGTTAGGCTGAAGGAGGATAGCAAACACTTGTTGCAGCTCGGGTTCATGGACATCACCCAGACTGCACGGGTATGCCGGAGCTTCCGCTCCAGAGCGAGCACAGTTTTGAAGGGACAGTTTGGAACAGGACAAGCCTGAGATTCAGCGGAGACTTCGGCAACCCTACTGACCTAGGTGCCTCCAAGAGCATCTTGCAGACCTCCTCGTGACCAGCGTGCGCTGCGAACATCAAGGCCGTGCTGCCTGCGAGGACGAAGCGGATCGCAGCAGGGTGGGAGGGAAGTTTAGGGAAGGCTGAGAGCGCGGTAGAGTACCACAAATGCTGCGGGCCTTCCTCGTTGGCTGCGGCCGGGTCGGCTCGCAGCTCCAAGAGCAACTGCAACGCGGAGCGAAGAGAGAGAGAAAGAAGAGAGAGAAAGAGAAGAGAAGACAGAGAGAGAGAAGCGAGATAAGAGAGAGCGGAGAGCGGAGAGCGGAGAGCGGAGAGCGGGAAGAACGCGACATGCGTCGAAGCATTCGCGAGCGCCTGTACCAGAGACGAATCACCGCGGTGGGCAGCGAAGAGCAGCGGCGTCTCGGCGCGAGAGTTGCCGGCGTTGACGTCGGCGCGTGCCTCCGCTGCAGAGCGTGTGCAAGGGGCCTGCGGCCTGCGGGCCGCATGCGGGCCTGCACCAGCTTCCTAGCCAGCTTCTGAACCTCCGCACACCAGCGCTTTCACCAACTACGAGTACCACGCAGCGCAATCGGCTGTGGAGAATCCGCACCTCCAGCCGCGCGACCGGCTCCTGCCGCCACTTGGTCACGAGGTGGAGGGCTTGCTCGCCACCTCGAACTTCGGCGACTGCGACTCGGCAAGACCGCCGAGCTCGCAGCCTTCGGCCACGGAGGGGTCCGCCCCAGCCTCGAAGTTTCGAAGGCTGCTGTATGCGCAAGCAGCCGCCTTCCACCCCAAGCACATCGGCCTCCAGCGCAGCCTCGGCAGTCCTTCGCTTGGAAAACACTCGGCCTCTCACTCACGCAAACCCAAAAACCCCTCGTACCTAGGACCTATATAACGCACGGAGAGGACCCGCAACAAAAAACCTATAGGGAAGAAACGAGCAAGGAGGGTGGGGGTGAGGTATCTCATACCCGCGACAGCCTTTAAGACAACTACAGTACCAATCCCCCGAGCAGGGAGGTACGTGCGAGCAAAACGGAGACTCACGCGACAGAAGAGACGAGGCCAGAACGAATCATGTCACGACGTGCGCGGGAAAGGACACAACCCGCGGAGGGGGATGGTTGGGATTCCCTCACGCGGCTTACCTCAGGGAGGTAATGCGGGCGTGTAACCCGCGGAGAGGTTTTGAAAGAGGAAGCAACGCATCCCCATCCTCTAGATGATCTCCTTCCACAGATCCCCCTCCGGCCTCTCTCTCCCACGCAGCCAAAGAGAAGGCAGTGCCCGATCCCCGGCGCGCGCGCGCGCGCGCGAGCGCGCCCTAAAGATGAGGACGGCTGAAGATCTCTCTCTCGGTCTCTCTCGTCTTTTTGGGGTCTGCTGTTCTGCAACTTCGTGACCATAAGAGGTTCCTCTTTCTGCTCCACATTGCTCCAGGCCTGGCATCTCGCTGGCTTAGGGCCCGCAGCATCGCCCGGCCCTGACTTCGGGGCCTCTCCTGCGCGAAGGGAGCAGTTTCAGCGATGCAGTTTAGATGAGCCCTCGCTTCAGGGACCGTATCCAGTCCGACAGTGGGGCCATCAGCTATCAAAGACCACCTCTTCCGCTAGGGCCGTACTTGTTTGAACAACCACCCAAAACGTGGCTAACTAATGCGAGGGTGCTCCTTGGCATCCACCAGCTCAAAAAGCTCAGGGGCGCTGCGGAGGTCCAGGCACTGCAGGCGCCACAGTTTTCGAGCAGTTCCTTCCCCCCTGGCTCTTGGCGTCTGGCTTGGCTCAGCTTCTCCACCAGCGATGCCTGTTGCTGCGGAGATCTTCTTCCCTCACGATCTGCACTGCAGCCAGCACTCCTCTTCGGCCTCGAAAGCGCCGGCCTCAGTGCGAAGCCCACGGGCCTTCGGGAGGGGAGAGGGGATCGGGATCCCGCTGCACGGCAGCACCGCAGAACACAAGATGCTTTGCAGGTCTCAGACTCAGCCACCAACTTCCAGGAGGCACTTGGACAACTCCAGGCTTCCCTCTAAAAACGGGGGCATGTCTCGCATCGTCTCGCCACCACCATGCCATGCCCGGGCCTTCTTGAGAGCCATGAACAGCGGAGTGCGCCCCAGCCTCAGTCGGTTCCCGGCAGGCGCCTTCCGACGGATCTGTGTAAGTCCGCTGCATGTCCCTTGGCGCCAACTCGGCACGGGCCTCGCAGAGAGCTGGGAGCCGGGAAGAGGAGCCAGAGCTCTCGGAGCCCTGGGCCTGGAGGAGAAGGCGGATCATGTCTGCCGAATTGCTGAGCACCGCCGAGTGGAGGAGCGAGAGCCCTCCGCTATAACACGCGCCATCAGCGAAAAAACTCACAACAGCACTCACAATGCCAGGATCTGTGCACTGCTTTCATACAAGCTGTGCTCACAGCCCAATGCTGGAAATGACGATCCAAGCCGCCGGTTCTTTGTCACGGCACACTGATCTGGAGGGAATGTGCGGCGACGACGTGAGGAGAGGGGGTAGGGTTGGGCTCGCAAAGTAAGAGAACTGCGGACTGCATCAATGCCCGCAAGATCATGGGTCGCCTCCCAAACGCTGAACACCTGCCCCCACAGTTTGGCTTCCGGCCGAAGCCAATCGGAGGGCTCACAGAGAAAGAGCGCGAATGTTGCCCAAGTCGGCAGCAAACTTAGCATTGAAAATGAGGGGCCAGCCAGGCTTGGGAAGAGGTCGGATTTTCAAAAGGGTGGAGTTGATTTTCGCTCCCCTTTGCTTTGCTCCTTTCTTTTTGGCTGATTTGTCGGGGTGTTTGGGGGAGGGGGGGATGTAGGCCGACTTTGCACATTTGCAGCAGGCCTGTATCATGGGTTCTGACAGACGATGTTCCTTCAAGCCAGCTTGTACGGCAAAGAAGTGGGGGGATCGCAGCACCCCCGCCCATTTGCAAAACCTGGACCATGCCTGTACGATAGCTTGGAAGGGTTCCATAAGCGTTGTGTGCTTGATACCATTCTGTTACTGGCGGGATGTTCTTGAAAGTAAGCTTGCACGGCTTTAAAAATGGGGGGATTGGGCGGGCCTCTCGGTTCCGGTTCATAATATGTCTTAAACACACCCCCTCATTTGGCGAGTCCGGTTCATCATATATTGTAAACAAGCCCCCCCTGTGGCGATTCCGGTTGATCATACATCTTGAACATGCCCCCTGATGTGGCGATTCCGGTTCACCATACATTTTAAACACGCCCTCTCTTCTGGTCCGGTTCATCAGATGTCTTCAACACGCCCTCTCGGTTCATCGCAGATCTTGAACGCACCCCCTCATTTGGAGATTCCGACTCATCATATATCTTAAACACGCCGCTCTCATTTGGCGATTTCGGTTCATCATAAATCTTTAATGCACCCTGCGATTCCGGCTCGTCATTCGTCCCCTCATTTGGCGATCGTGGTTCATCAAATATAAAATGATCACGCGTCCTTCAATGCCAATCTCGGCTCATCATATATCTCAAACACGCCCCCCAATTTGGCGATTCCGGTCTCTTTTGGTGCTCCATATCTTCAACACGCCCCCTCAATTGGCTGGCGATTCCTCTTCATCATCTGTCTGAAATGCACCCCCCGAATTGGCCCCCTCATTTGGCGATTTCGGTTCATCATAGATCTTTAACACGCCCCCTCCTTTGGCGATTCCGGTTCGTCATACATCTGAAACACACCCCCTCATTTGGCGATCACGGTTCATCAAATATCTTAAGCATGCTCCTCATTTGGCGGTTCAGGTTCCGCTTCATAATGGATGGACACGCCCCAGCATTTGGCGCCGTCGTAGCTCTTAAACACACCCCCTCTTTTGGCGATCTATATCTTAAAAGTGCCCCCACATGCATTCGGCGCTTTGGGGTCATCATATATCCCTCATTCGGCCATCTCGGTTCATCATATATCTTAAACAGGCTCCCGCATGCATTTCGCGATTCCTGTTCATTATAGTATATCTTAAACACGCCCCCTCATTTGGCGATCTCGGTTCATCATAGATCTTAAGCACACCCCCCTCATTTGGCAATTTCGGTTCGTCATCTATCTTAAACACGCCCTCGCATGCATTTCGCGACTCCGGTTCATCAAAATCTTAAACACGCCCCCTCATCTGGCGATCTCGGTTCATCATGGATCTGAAACACGCTCCCTCCTTCGGCAAATCCGGTCTAGGCTTCGATTCAAGAAGCCTAGAAAAAATCGAGCCAATTGCCAGCCGACTGAAGCCTATCAGTCCATGGGCAGGATCCATCTAAACTCTACGCTCACAGACGAGAGATCTGAGACAACAAGGCGGCATTTGGGGTGCTATGCAGGCAGTATACCGGACGCCTTCTTCCGAGCTGGGACAGCGCGCATGGAGGAGGCTCGGATCAGCAAGAAAAGCCTGAAGGCGAAGCGGAAGCCGAGCAGAAGCTGAACTTCGGAAGGTTTGAGCTCTGAGCCTCGCCATAGTTCCTGGAGCGGACAGCCTGAAAAGCACACGCGACTCTCTTGTAACGAATACCTGGCAGAAACTCGGAGCTCAACATCTCCTTCGGTGCCTCGTGGAGTCTTTGCGCAGGGCTCACGGCACGCGCTGCGGGCCTACGAGGTCTCCCAAAAAAAGGGGGCGACACTGCAAAAACTCCGCCACCTGCCTCTGCACGGCTGCGGGCTTGGCCTCCGTCTTGGTCTTTGCCGAGAGGTCCTGCAGGTCTCCAAAGCCGAGGCCCGGACGATGGTTTCACTGAAAGCACAGCACGCCTGCAGCGGTTCAGGCTTTCTCGCCCGTCTCCTGGATCGGACCGCCCTCTGTCTCGGTCACAGGCTCTCAAGCTGCAAGCGATTCAAAGCCAGGCACTGGCTGGCTCGGAGACTGGCATCCGCAGACCTGCCACTGCAACCACCTAAACCCTTCACTCGGCATCCCACATCACAGCATGGGCATGAACTCATGAACCTGCAATGCTTGAAGAGTCGCTTCTGCTCGTGATTGTCGGGGATGCTATGCTATGCTTAATCATTTTGGCTGCAACGACGAGCCCACTCTGAGTGGCTGCGACCATTCAGCAACCTCACTGCCAGAAGGATGACCTAGTCATTGACTAGCCGAAGCCCCTTCCACCGAAGTTCCCCTATGTTTTGTGCTGAAGGCTTCCTTGACGGCATCCGCTTCCTTCCTCTCCTCTCCTCTCTCTCCAGGGTGCCCCGGCAGCCAGATGGCGGATCTCCCGGAGCTCCTGGGCACCTGCGAGCAAAAAACGAACGGAACCCGAAAGTCACCTCCCCGGCCACCTTCGTCCCGCGTGGCCGCGCCTCAGGCCGCGCCTCGGCGCCGAAGCGCCGCCTTGCCAGTGCCTCCCACCTGAGAGAAAGACGACTCGTTTTTCTTTGCTGTCGCTTCGCTTTGCTTCGCAGGAAGCTCACGCCGTTTCTCTCACGCCGCGCGCCTCTCCAGCGTCTGCTGCAAGAGCCTCGCACCCAAGCCCTCCTGCAGGAACCAGGTGACCTGGAATGGAGAGCCACAACGCCGCAACGTGCCGCAATGCTCCCGCCCATGCCGCCTCGCCGGCCACCTCGCTCTGCGGATCATCGAACTGGACCTCTTCAAGAGCCGCTGAGCGGCTCCAAAGACGGAGATTAAGCCCCGGCCTGCAGCTCGGGCGGTGTGCCCGGCTGGAAGCCCGGGACGCGCAGCACCGCAGGCCAGCGCTGGGCCTTCCCCCCGTCTTTCTCGGCCTCGGCGCAGCTTCAGTTAGTACTTCCGTGTGGTCTGAAAAACGGGTGCGCTGAGACTGAACCGGCAACCGGCATCAGACGGAGCCTCAGCACAGGGCGCCATAGAAGCGAGTTGCCTGGTGAGGCGAGGCATTTGGACAGGATTGGACTGGCATACCACCCCGCAAGCAGGGAGAAACCTTCGGGCTCACACAGGCCTTAACCACCTCCAGCTGCAGACCAAGGTCCAGGTCAGCATCCACACTCACCTTCTCACGAGCCACAGAAGCATGCTGCAATGCCATGTGGGAAGGAGCGCCATCAACACGAAACACTTTCTGTTGGGGGGCTCGGCCGCTCGTGCATGAGAAAAGTAGCCCTGAAGCACTGTCGGGCAACAGATGCAAAGGATCAATATCGATCGTCTGCATCTACCTGAAATTGGAGCTCGCTTCTGCTTCTGTGCGCAGTGCGAGGCAAAAAAGACAGGAGCAGGAACCGCAGAGACCAGAGAGGAGCCAGGGCCCTGCCTGGGCCTTGCGACCGCAAAGGCTTGCTTCTCCACTGACCTCCACACGGAGCACCTGGACCTGGCACCCAGCTTTGCAACACGAGGCAGGGACGGGCCAGGACGGGCTTCTGCCCGCCTCCAGGAAGGTCCAGGGCGTCCGCACCGCCTCTCCGTCTTTGCACCGCGCAGGATCCTTCAAGGCCCAAGGCTCTTCAAAGATTTTTCTTCGGGAGCCCCGCTTCGAGAAGCGAGCGGAGTCAGGTGCAGACTCGCCTTCAGCGCGTCCAGCAGGATGTCTTGCAGCGATTCTCTGGCCCAGTCCGTGAGATCCTTCTCCTGGTGACAGCAGAAACAACTGGGACGCCCCCGAAAAAGCGTCGTTTGCCTGCCTGCCAGTCCATTGCGTAGCACGAGGCGCTCCACTGTAGGCCATCCCCCAGGTCTTAATTAGCCCTCTTCGTGCTGGCGCAGCATCGGCTGTCTTGTCGCTTCTTCGCGGAAGGACCTCTCTTGGATTCTTAGATATTGTGCTGAACTTACTGAGCCAATGGCTGTGGCCAGACTCTGGCTTGCGCCACGCAGCACGCAACAAGGCAGGTGCCCCAAGACCCATGCGCCTTTGTTTTGGGCGCGTCCAGTTCGGAAAATGCTTCCCGACACAGGGCGCAGAGATGCACATTCCCAAAGCTCACACACGGCGCATAAGACGCGGCCGGCAGCCTGTCCGCACAATCCATGACGGCGCAGGCGCATCAGACTTTTTTGCACAGGATCTGGTGTCCGGCCTCCGTATTGGATGGTGTTTCGGACATAGGCTTGTGATACCTTCCGAGACGTCCGAGCAAGTCGCATTGGCAAGAAGCATGTGACGTCCACTACCTTCCCTCTCCCTCTCTGTCATTTCGGGCGGCATTGATGCCGGAAGAACGGATGGTGGCGATGATGCCGCCCAAAGCTCCAGGCCTCGGGGAGCGAAGTTCTCGAGGATCCCCCGCTGCTCCGCTGCTCTCGTCGCTCAGGTGGCGGCGAGCCCTTCACTTGCAGCACGATGGACTCCACGCCCAGCTTGTCTGCCACGAAGAGCGCCGCCTCAAGGCGCTTGCAAAGACGGAACGAACAGAGTACTGAGCAACCCTGTGTCTGTCTGTCTCTGCGTTTGTGTGTCTGCGTGTTTGGGGTTGGATCTGGTTGTGTTGTGCTGCGCCGGGCGGCGCTGGGCTGCGCTGGGTTGTGCTGCCGTGGGTTGGGCTTTGTTGTGTTGTGTTGCATTGCGCTGCGCTGTGCTGTGCTGTGCCGGGCTGTGCTGTGCTGTGATGGGGTGTTGTTTGTTGGGGGTGTGAGTGTGATGTGGTGTTGTGATGTGTTGTGGTGTGTTGCGCCGTGTTGTGGTGTGGTGCTGGTGGGGTGAAGTGGGGTGTGCTGTACTGTGCCGTGCCGTGTCGTGCCGTGCCATGCTGTGCAGTGCCGCGCTGTGCCGTACCGTGTCGTGCCATGCGTTGTGCTGTGCTGTGTTGTGTTGTGCTTTGCTGTGTTGTGCCTTGTTGTGTTGTACTGCGCTGCGCTGTGCTGTGCTGTGTTACGTTGGGTGGCATTTTGTTGTGTTCTGCTCTGTTGTCTTGTGACGTGTTGTGCCTGGGTGACTGATTTTGCAGTTTCAATTATGTCTTTGGAAGTGTGATTGTGAATGCGTGTTTTGATTGCATGCAACTTTCTGGTGCGCCAGTTGGGAATGTGATCACTTGCAGCGCAGGCTTCAGGTTCAAGGCTTTACTAGATTCGACTGAAGCTTGACGTCCCCTGAAGCGCAATGAGTTACCTGACTCGACACAAGTGACTGGAGACCTGGGACACATTGAATCAAGTGTGTGGGGTTGTGCTTGTGTGGTTGCGTGGTTGTGGTTGTGCGCGTGTCTGTTTGTGGGTGTGTGGTTGTGGGTTTGTGGGCTTGTGGGTGCAGTCTGTTTGGGGGGTGGGTGGCCATCCGTGCCTCGATGGCACGATTGGCGTTCGGGAGGAGCGGGCCTGACTCGGATCTTTTGCAGCTTTGCAGGCTCTATGACATCAGATTAAAGTTCTTCTGCCAGGGAGCCGTAGCGCTTCTCGGTGGTGCACCAGACAATCTGTTGGCGAGTCGGACTCGAATCGTTGGTCACGGCTGGTTTCGGGGTTGCTTTGGCCTCGCCCTTCTTGTCGCACAGGGCGACATGAGCGTTGTTCTTGGACTTCCGGACCGTCAACATCTCAGCCGCGCTGCAGCGGAAGGCAAGCGCTGCGATGAGGCTGAGGTCGAGGCTGCACCACCCTTCAACCTGAGAGTGTTGAGACGAGGAAAGGAAGAAGCCCCCCGTCACTTTGAGCGGGCCGAGCGGGCCTTGACACTTTGCTCTGTTTCATCTGCGTTGCCGCCAGGCAGGTTCCTGTGGGAGCATCGCAACAAGTACTGCTGCAGCCCTGGCTGCCCCCGCTCACTGCAGAAACCCCATATGACATGATGTAGAAAAGTGCCGAGGAGGAACGGCGGGAGCGCACGAGGCTCGCCAAAACAGCCTCAGAGGTGCTCTGTTGGCAAGCAGCAGGCGCCACGGCATCTTTGCAAGTCCTGGGACACCTGCGGCCGCCGCGCCTGTGACGCCCCACTGAACCTGAAGGTGAGGTTGAAAAGAGTTCGTGCCAGCACTCGAGCTCTTGTTGCGCACCCCTGTGGAGGGCGCGCTGCGAGCTGCCGGCACCTGCAGCGAAGGGCTCAATCAACGCCCAAAAAGACCACAGAGCGGCACGCGGTAGCCTCGGAGCGCAGCGCTCCCCGACTAAAGCTCCTGGAACGGAGCCCTTCCAGGCCTCACAGGAATGCTTGCCCTCGAGAGCACTGAGCTGTGGAGCAGCTTGGCCTTGTGGGCTGGGAGCCAAGAAGGCGTGGCACAGCGGCAGCCTACGGGTTCCCAGCATCCAACTTCCGATAAGCCCCGAGTAGCAGTGCCACAGGATAGGGTGGCGCACGCCGCGAGGAAGAGCCACCGCCTGCACTCCGTCATCCCGTGGCTTTTCTCCGACCCGGTGAGACTTTTTCCGAGGTCCCCGGCATTGCGCAGCCGCTCCCTCAGCCTGTGCCCCGGAACATGGATCATGCATGAAAACTCATCAAAACCCCACAATCCTGCCGAGGAGCTGGGGACAGCACGTCGACTGTAGCCCAGAGCCCAGACGGCTTCGATAATCCCACGTGCAAGTCGACAGCACGTTTGCGCATCCAAAAGACAGCACGCGGCTTTCACTTTTGCTCACGGTGCGTGATACGCTGCATGACGCCTCATCCGGAAGACCGCCTTTGTGCCGGGACTGCCGCGTCTCACTTCTTCTTGTCAGAGCCCACAACCTGCTGCCAGAAATCCATCTTCTTCTGGGCCTGTAGCAAATGAAGCATCGGTGGTCAGAACATGTTGGTCCAGCGTTGCTGAGGGTAGGTCATCTTTGAAGGCACCAGGTACCCTCTGATCGCAGATGATCATTCTGTGGCGCGTGATTTCCTGGCAGATCCGGTCGGGACGAAAGCAACTGGCGGCTTCGTGGCGGACCTCACGTGGCTCTTTCTTTGGCTTCTCCTCCACCTCTGGCATCGTCGGGCCTGCGCAGCGAAGCCTTTTTGTGCCCCCCAGACCCCCCTCAGCCGCCGAACCTTCGGATCTCCCACGGCTCCGGATCCGAAAGAGACAGCGACAGCTCTGAGCCAAAACAGGACGCTGCTAGGGCTTTCGGTTGAGACCATGGCGAAGCTGGCGCCAGCAACGCGAAACCGCTAGCATCCTTTTTTCGGCACGAGGAGTCCGTGGGCAACCCATCTTTAAGCTACCCCCCCCCCCTTCCTAGGTCCTAGTTCATGTGCCCACCTGCCTACACCTGGGGTGCAGCGAGCGAACGACGAGAAAGGACAGTAGCCGGAACTTTGGCACTCGAGGTCATGGTTTGCGAGATTTCAGGCCTGGGGGGACAACTTGAAACCGGACATCAGCAAGAAGTTGAAGTGCTAGGCCTCAATGCCGGAATAGATGTCAACAGCAACTTTGAATGCCTGGAATTCTGGAACAAGGATTCGCTGGAATAGCTGAACCGTGCTGTCACCTTCTCCTCCTCTCAAGCCGATGCGTTCAGTTCATGAACTTGGATCAAGCATTGCCGACATTGGAATTGAGTTTATGGTCGAAGACATCGCGTCGTATCGTCTGCACATGACATGGTGCGACTCAACATCTGATGCCGCAGCTGTGGCGCGGTGGGCACACGCTTCGAAGTGCGATAAACAATCGCATATGTACAGAGGAATGCTGTCTTTCTTGCAGTCACTCCTGGCAGTCCGTCAACCAGGCCACGGCCGCTTCGACCTCCGCCAGAAAGCAACAAGCAATGATATCACGCACGGAACCCCCCTGCGAAGTGCGTAGTCTGCCGAAGCACTGCTGCCCGCGTCGGCAGTGAGCCCCGTGCCGTCCGGGGCCCGTGAACACTCCATTGGCGCCCCCAATGCTACTCTGGCTTTGCCGAGCGTACACTCCCCACGCTTGCAAAATGCTCTCCGCTTGCTCAATCCGGGCGTGGTGTGGTAGTTGTTTCGCCCGGTAGCGAATGCCTCGCTTGCCCGCTTGTTCCACGGGGGTGGTTGCGATCCGCACTAGCAATAGGCATGTGTTGCTGCGCTTGAGGTTGCCTCCAGCGTCTGTTGCGCCGATAACCCCGCCCTCCCATGAAGTCATGCGCAGCGAGGTCGGCGAGACATTCTGTCTGTCTGTCTGTCTGTCTGTCTGTCTGTCTGTCTGTCTGTCTGTCTCTCCGTCTCTCCGTCTCTCGTCTCTGCGCCTGTCTTCATGCTACGTAAATCTGGTGCTTATCCATTCAGGAACCGGTTTCTTGGGCCGCGTGCCGTGGAGCAGCGCTCTGCTGCCGCCCGGGCCCGATCCGAGGAGAAGCCCAGCCTCAGAGGAAGCGCTGGAATCTAGAAAAGATGCTTAAGGCCTCAGCGCCTTCCTTGGTGGAGTGATGGCAAAATCTCCGAGAGCTGCTTTGGCTGTCAAGCTGTTCCCTTATAGCCGGGTCGAGGCACCCGAGGAGCTGTGCCACCAACTCAGTGTCGCCTGCAAGCGCAAAACAGATCGTAGCAGAGCGCGTGTCTTTCGAACCCCCATCCCAGTGCCTCGGTATCCATCGCTCGCCTTCTGAGCAGCAGAATTTCAATGCGTGTTCCAGTCAAGCATCTTTTCTGGGACGGGGACGGGTCGTCGACCCGTCAGCTCCGACAGCACAGCCCTGACTTCAACAACAGGAGTGGAAATTCGCAAGGTTTTTCTGAGGCTCTGACAGCTTGGCAAGCTTGCTTTCGAGCGCTCTGCCGGCCGCTGCGCTGGCAGCCTCCAACACTAGAAAAAGAACGGGCTCTGCTGGGCTGGGCCCCACAGCCCCACCTCGACTTGGGGCGAGACTTCGGCTGCTGTCTCCGCCCGCATCAACGGAGGCGGCCGCTTCGGCTCTGCCAGCCTCCGCGTCAGCGAGCCCAAAGCCTGCTCGGACAGTCACCACCCTGTTTGTCACCCCAAGTGCTCTGCCCATGGCTCAGACGACGTGGCCGGGAGCCACATGGGTTCCGGTACTGGTGCCAACAGAAAGGCAGAGCGCCATCGCTCAAGGCATGCGATTTAACACGAGAGCTCCTGCGCTCCAAAACAAGACGCTAAAGAGGCAAAACACCCCCCGCGAACCGAAAAACATGGCATTAGCAGCATTAGGAAGCTTGCTTCTTCTGCTTTGTGTTCGGAGGGCCCGTGGTCTGGCCTGGGCAGACTCCTTGGCTTTTCTCGTGGACTCTTCCAGGGCCCACTCCATGGCTTCCTCCAAAAGAAGAGAGCTTCAGAGCAGCGAGGGAAGGTTCCGGGCAGCCGTCCTCCGTGTTTGAGGGAAAGCGCACGGCTGCCTCCTGAGCGATGTCCTGCGCTCAGACGAGCTCAAAACGTCTTGCGATGCACAGAACGCTACGGCTCCTGGCTGAAGCCCATTTCCATCAGCTGGGTCGTCAGCGCCTCTGCCAAAACTGCGCTCGCACGAGTAACAATCTTCTCGAGGTCTCTCGCCTCTTTACCGCAGGACGCGACACCGCCGCATCTCGTTCAGGAAGAAACTAACTAGGATGCCACTGCTGCCGCTGAATGTGAGCGTGGCCCAGCAAGCTCTGCTCGCAGACCCTGCTCAGATCTGAGGCTCGAAGGCTGCCTCCAGCTCGCTCTTAGTCACTCCGGCGGCCAACCCGATCGCTTGAAAGGCTACTGTCCCTGTCTCACACCACTGATGCCGCATGAGAACCGCGTTTTCGCGGCCTGGTTCGACCAGGCAAGCTTGCTGTGCGTTGGCGTTCCGGGACCCTCTCACTCAAATGCAGACGCACACAGACAAACACGCAACACGAACAAACAAACAAACAGACAGTCAGACAAACAGACAGACAGACCGACATTGCTGAGCTGCCGCCTTGCTGTTGCTGGAGGTGTCTCGACATCCGTCGCTCAGACTGTTCGATCTGAGGATTCACAACTCGTATCGACAATGACCCGCATCCACATGGTCTGGAAGTCGCAGCTGCATCTTTGACCAGGTCTCTTTTCGGAGGGCGTCGCCATAGAGCCAGATCACCCGGACACCATTGTGTTTGCCTTCTGGTCGCCTCACAGCCGGAGTGACACGGACATCCTTGAAGGCGTTTTCGGAGAAGCGCGGCACATCTACCGACTTAAGATCAGTTTTGAAGTGACGGTTCCGCGCAGCCATTCTTGGCAGGCTAGGCCGGCTAGGCGATGCGGAGACTCCGAGCCCAAGGATGCCCACCTTTATAGGCCTCTCTGCTATCTGCTACCAGACTGCCACGATGTGCCACGTGCCTGTGCCATGCCACCCTCCCTCCGGGCCGGCACCGGGGGAGGAGGCGGAGGGGGCGGCTCCTGGCATCTCCGAGCGCATGAAAAGACGCTGAGGGTGCTGGCGGCGGTCACCTCAGCCTCGGCGTCGCGAGCCAGCAGCGGCTCCTGGACAGTGCCGAATTGCAGTGTGAGAAGACAAAAATACCCTCTCTCAGAACACTCGCCCCCTTTTCTGGCCGCTGCCTCTCCGGAAGAGCACGCGGTTCTTCAGTGCGCGCGCGCGCGCACGCGCGCGCGCGCGCGGGGCGGGAGCTCAGGCTGAGTCAGCTCGCCGTGGCTCGGGACCCGGGTGAACCCAGGCGGCGCGTCGGCTCGTCAGTCGGCCGAGTCGAAGAGTCGAAGCGCGTGAGACGAACTTGGCTGCTCAGCGCTCGTCCGGGTGCTGGTGGGCGTCCAGGAAATTTCTTACTCACGGGCCTGACAGGGGCACACCGAAAGGACTTATAAGGTGTAAGGAAAGAAACGGGAGCGGAATGGCCTTCTGCCCCTCCTCCTCGACGCCTTCCTTGGCGAAGGGACTCACTGTTTTTTCAATTCCCTCACCCGGCGTTGACAAAGGGCCGGCCTTGGACTTTTGCTTCATCCGCTCCACGTCGAACTTCACACCCCTGTACATCCGCTCCTGAGGCTGTCAATGCATGGGGCCGTCGGTGGATGTCCGTCGGCTTACGGATTCAACCCGGTCCTTGTCGATGCTTCTGCTCATGACTGCATAGCTGGCAGTGCCCACCGTTGCAATGCATGCCAAGCCAAAAATGATCTTGGGTGCACTTGGCATCTTCTTGGGCAGCATCGGGGCGACACAGTGAAAGGCGCTCGAGCCCAGATGCCGCTGTGCACGGAGATGCACAGAGAGTTCACACGTGTCCACAACACGAAGGAGTTTTGTGTCCACACAAGGTTCCGCCGGTCCTCCTTGGGCGACAGCCGCTTGAAGACCGGGCCCGGGCTCGGCGCCGTGGGCCTCTTCTTGGTTAAACAGTCTCCTTCTCCGATCATGGGTTGGGGCCATGCTGGGCCCCGTGGCAAGGTGTCCACAAGCCGCATCTCCAGGAAGTCCGCGGCCTACAAAGGCGCCCGCGACTCAAAAAGGGTCGACTCGCGCTGAAAGACCGAGCCTGCTCCAGGTACCACTTCGGACCTCCCAAAGCGAGACTCTTAGGTCCCATTGGAGTCCTATAGGTCCCAGACAAGCCCAAGCCACGGGGTCCATTGTGGCCACCCTGGAAGGTCACCAGCCTCAAGTCGAGCCGTGACGAGCCGGCGAGCGCCCACCCGCTTCTTCCTCCCCCACATTCAGGCCAGAGGCTTGGCTTCGGTACCCCAGACCGCGTGCAGGTCGTGCGTGTGATGCGGCAGCACGAAGTCCTGCCATGGCACACGCGCGAAGGTCCCCACCCTTTCCCGGAGAGACATGGACGGCGCACGTCGTCGTCAGCGACCTGCGTCTTTAACGCCGAGTGCTCTCAGCTTCGGAGTCGAGACCGGCTTAACTCGGCTTCCGACCGCGAAGAGCGCGGGGGACCTTCGGAAGACACCCCCCGCCCCCGCCCCGCTTCTGCCGTGGTTTCCCACCAAAAAGATGTCTGCCGCCGCTCCTGCCTCGCTCTCGGCGCGCTTCGGATGGGCAGGAGCTCCTCTCCGAAATATCCGAAACGCGCCAAGGCCGCATAAAAGGCCACAGTAGAGGAGCACAGCAAAAGGGAGCACGGATAAGAGCTCTCTGCCTGGATGTCGAAGTGCGCTCGTTCCTGGCGCAGACATCGAACTCCTCTGCCTTTATAGGGCCTTTACAGGGCTTCGAAAGGGCCTGGATCTCCGTGCGCACACGGCTCAAGGCCAATGACCTATGGTGGCTCAGCTCGGCAACACGGGGTCCCTGCTCCGTGCAGGTGCGGCGGAGGGGCACCAGGAAGTCGGGGAGGCCCACCTGGCCTGAAGAAAAAAGAGACCAAAAAAGAGTGCGAAGTCTCTTTTAGATTCTGTATTGGGAGGTCCCGGCTTTGGACCAACTCCTGGGCCACCATGGGCAGGTCGCCTTAGTGACATGTCTAGGGAGATCCCCAAACTTGCTCCAGTCCCTGCAGCTTCGGCACTGAAGGGGGAGTCCAGCACCAGCGCGCTGATGCCGGAATCCTCCGCTGCGCGGAGGATCGCCGTCACGGCACCCATGGACCTGACTTGAAAAGGATGTTGAGGGAGGATGCCGGCGCTGGAAGAGGCAAAACGGTGCCTTCCCCAGAGGCCCAGCAGCCGGGCCCCTAGATTTCGGAGGTGCTGAATCAAGACCTGGACAGTGGGACACCCAGGCCGGCCCCTGCATGCACCCCGGGCCCCTCCCTGCCTGCAAGTCCAACTGCTCGAAATGGCCGAGAGAGATGAACTCCCCCTCGCTTTGGCCGGACCTGTGAGCACAGAGCCGGGCAGAAGCCTCCGCTATAGCCTCCAGAAGCCCATGGGCACCCGGACCCGGAGAGGTCCATGCAACAGAGTCTGAAGTTCTTCTCCAGTACGACCTGCAGAAGGCGTAAAAATCCGGGCTGAGGCCCGGCTGGCGGCCCCGGCGACCTGCAGCACATCCAAAGCCTCTGCCCGCGAGGAACAGTTGCCGTGCAAGTAGATGACGCACCTTCGAACACAAAGGCACATTATCCAAGCTGCAGCAAGCTGCAGCGAGCTGCCGCAACTGCAGCCCTCTGCTGCGGGCCCCCGGCGGTGTCGAGGCCATTGGCTGCTTGTTGGGGTAAGATCCTCGCACGCTCAAGTCGCGGAGCCATGGTGTCGAGTCGCATAAAGAGGCCAAGCCACCGAAGATGCTGCAGGCCAGCCGCATTCCACGGCCATTGGTCAGGTGGAAGTCCTGCGAAGAGTCTTTCTGAGCTCATGTCAACACGTCAACAAGAGATTACATAAGCAACCTCGCGGCAGTAGATTCGTGAGTGGATCCGGAACTTGCTGGGCCCAAGATCGGAGATGAGGTACTCGGACCTGTGAGAGCTCCGCTCGACTTGACTTTAAAAAAAGAACCCTTTTCTAAACACCTCTTAAGCCTTTCTGTCCCACCTTGGTGGTCGAATGAAGAGCTTCCAGAGGAGGTCATAAGACTCCGACAGGAAAGCCGTCCAGGAGACCTTCTCCATGCGGGCGGCGCGGCAGGATGCGGCCCAGCCGAACTCGCGGGATCTGCCATGGCGCTCGCCCTTGCAGTTGTTCCGATCCTGCGACTCCGCTACTCATTGTGACAACGTGCGAGGATCGCCCTTCTTTGAAATGCGCGATTCCTAGCGAGAGCACTCTGTAGCTGCGAGGAAAGACTGAGAGATGCTGACTCCGAAGGGGCCGTCCCTGATTTTGCGCAGCAGGACATCCTTTTTTGCTGCGCAACCGACAAACCTCGAAGAGGCTGTCAAGATTATCACAATCAATTGCTTCTGAGAAGCAAGGGGCGTCACAAGGCAGGGGCAAGCCTGAGAGATAGTGGAACCAGGAACAGAATTGCCTGCACAGACTCAGGATGCCCGGGATCTCAGATCTCTCAAGCTTGGCCCATCCTTCCCGCCTTGGATAAAAGTATGGTGCATGGTACGGATGTAGAAGAGCCTGCAGAACTGCCCTCCCATGAGGGAGCGCATAGCAACTGAAAACTGTGATGCCGAACTCAAAGGTCCTCCGGCACAAGATACGAAACAAGATAGGGCGGGTCACTCACTTGCTCAGGAACTGCCAG